ATAGGGACTCTCGGTCTGGGACAAGTGATGCTCTGTATTCTTGGTGCTTGGAGGGGGCAACAGTGGGAGGGCTTCTGGAGTTCTGGCCTTATTGGTGGACCTCCTGATGGCACCTGGTATTTTTGGCCACTGTGTGACAGAGTGTTGGACTGGGTGGGCCACTGGCCTGATCCAACATTGCCGTCTCTTATGTTCTTAATCTAACTGGGTTCTGCCATAGGTGAAGGGCAGTAATTTGAGGCATGCACTGGTCAAACATTCTTGAGGTGGGTGCTTGATCCATGGTTCACTTGGCATTGGACCGAGCACCTCTCATGCTCGTCCCGGAATGTGGCCCTACGTGATGCTAATGTCGCTTCTCCTTTTCTCTCTGCAGGGTGACTCTGGCGGACCTTTGGTGTGTAACAATAAACTCCAGGGCATCGTCTCTTGGGGGATGCAGATCTGTGCACAGAGAGGGCAGCCCGGAGTGTATACCAACATCTGCAGATTCACAGGGTGGATTCAGGACACTATACAGAGGAACTCGTTTAACCGTGATGCGGGCAGCTGCTAGTGAGAGGGGAGACAGTCTTGCTGGCACCACGATCTCAGAATAAATTATATTAAATAGAGCTTTGTTTTGTCATCTCCATTCTGCCACTCCTTTAAAACCATGCCCATTGTCTTGACTGACCAGTCAGGGCTATGTGACCCACATGAAGTGGCACTTCGGGGAAAGGAAGGTGCAAACACAGAGTGCAAAGTAATACATATTACAAACCTACCTCTAAGTAATACATATTACAAAGACTTCGTGTCCGCCATGAGTTCTTTGTATCAGATGTGGAATGGTAGTTTTGTACCACACAGATGCAGGCTGGCCCTTTTCTGCTCGCAGCCATAGTGTGTGTGGAGTGGCAGCTTCGGGTTTCCCTTCTGCACTGTAGTTGCATCCTCAAACTGCCCTGTGGAGCTGTTATGAGCTCCATTGTAGAAATTATGTGCAGCCATGTCAGTAATGTGATTTTTCAGCCCAGCCAATAGCAACTCCACGTAAGCTCTCAAGCCCTGCACCAGAAAAAGATAGGAAATTGTGGGGGAAGTGCCTGGGGAGGGTGGGGTTTCAGGGGATGTGACATCATATCCTCTGTGACACTCTAGGACTTTCTCCTCATCTCTATGGCACAGAGTCTGGGGAAATTCCCAGGGCATCACAGAGGATGTGATGTCACTTCCAGGCAGAGCATTTTTTTTTTTTTAAAGAGGTGCTGGAACTCTCAACAAGGAAATGGAGTTTTCAGTCTGTATACTGAAAATTCATGAACTTTAAACATTTTTAAAAGAATTTTGTCAAAGAGGTTCCGGAACTCTGTTCTGGCGTGTTCCCCCAGAAAAAAAAGCCCTGCTTCCAGGAAATGAGAATGCAATGTCACTTCCAGGTGGTGTTCTAGGAATCCTTATGTCAGGACCCACAGTCAATCACTTAGCACACACTTCCAAGAAGGTTTTACTTTATTGTGAGAACTATGGTAGCATAAACATATTCACTGTTAAGAATAACTAATATTAAGCCTACAGGGTTAGATACAGTATACTCGGAAAGGCCCCCCCCCCCATCGATGGGCCAATTAGGCACTCTCCCGCGGGTGGGAAAACCTGTGGGTGGTCCCACGGTTGAAATATGGGAAGACACTACATGAGGGAGTGAGCTATAAGGTCAGAGATAAGGAGCAGAGGCGCCAAGGGGAATGGAATGCAGGCCTGGCTGGTACACAGGTCAAGCGAGTGAACTGGAACCCATAAACCTAATGGCAGCATAGCTGACATCTTACAATCTCTATGGTCTTTATCATAGAGGCTAGGGGAATTCCTAGAGTGTCCACTATCAACTCTATTCCTCCCCTTCATTTTTTCCCCTCTCCCTCATCAAGTCATTGAGGGCAGGGGATTGGGGCCATGGGCAAATGGCAGGCCTAGCTCCATGGGGTGGTCTGGGAATTAATAGGACCAAAGTCCAGACATGCAATAGAAAGAGGTGGCAGAACACTGAGCTGCTAGAATGGAGCACACCACTTCAGACTACAGGTGAAGAATCACATAGAAAATCAGCACAACAATAGAAGAGTGAGGATAGAGCCTTTCACCTTGCAGCATTAGTTTTCTATTTGTAAGGAGCTGGGGTGGTTTGGTTTTGTTTGGAGATGGAATGTTTTTGTTCAGTTGCACAGTCGAGTCCAACTCTTCACGATCCCATGGACCACATCACGCCAGGCCCTCCTGTCTTCCATCATGCTCCAGAGTTTGCTTAACTTCATGTTCGTTGCATCGATGACACTGTCTAACCATCTCATCCTTTCCCATCACCTTCTTCTTTGACCTTCAGTCTTTTCCAGCATCAGGGTCTTCTCCAGTGAGTGCTCCCTTCTCATTTGGTGGCCAAAGTATTTGAGCTTCAGTTTCATTATCTGGCCTTCCAGGGAACAGTCAGGGTTGATTTCTTTTAGGATTGACTGATTCGATCTCCTTGCAGTCCAAGGCACTCTCAATAGTCTTCTCCAGCACCATCATTCAAAAGAATATATTCTTCAGAGCTTGACCTTCCTTATAGTCCACTCTCGCAGCCATACAGTACTACTTGGAATACCATTGCTTTGACCATATGCATAGGCGTAATCTTCGTGGGGGCGGCGGGGCTTAAGCCCCCGCCGAAATTTTCAGGAAGGTGCTCAGCCTCCCCCGGGAGCCACCCTTGCTCCTAGCAAAGCAATGCCTCTGGCCCAGCCCCAGCCCCCCCCAGGAAATTGGAAAGTCTACACCCTTGACCATATGGACTATTGTTAGCAGGGTGATGTCTCTACTTTTTATTATGCTGTCTAGGTTTGCCATCGCTTTCCTCCCAAAGAGCAGGCATCTTTTAATTTCATGGCTGCAGTCACCGTCTGCAGTGATCCTGGATCCCAGGAACGTGAAATCTGTCACTGCTTCGATGACTTCCCCTTCTATTTACCAAGGAGTGATGGGGCCGGATGCCATGATCTTAGTTTTTTTGATGTTGAGTTTCAAGCCCACTTTTGCGCTCTCCTCAGTAAGAGGCTCTTTAGGTCCTCTTCACTTTCTGCCATTAGAGTGGTATCATCTGCATATCTGAGGTTGTTGATGTTTTCCCCAGCAATCTTAATTCCGCCTTATGATTCATCCAGGCTGACATTTCATATGATGTACTCTGCATATAAATTAAATAAGCAAGGTGACAATATTCAGAGCTAGAATCCGCCCCCTGCGAGTCTGCAGTGGCTTTTCACAGCAGAGAGATAAAAAAGATTACTACTAGTAAATGCCTCTAGATAAAACAGCCGTTAAAGGTAGGGGAGGAGGTGCTCATGAAACAGCAGGCAACCCTAATCAGGAACATCTTATATCTGCAGCCACCACACCCTTTCCCCACATTTAACAATGCACAACTCTCATTACAAGCAATTAAATGAGCTCACATACTAGGTATGCACAACAAAGCCACAAATCCCTTTGCTTAAAAAAGAAAGAGGGAGAGAGAGATGGCTGTCCTTTGTGGATGACCTTGCTGTAGAGATTATGAAGTATAAACCACTGTGAATGTGCCTGAGGCAGACTTTGTTTTATCCAAATTAATTCTGAATAGAGAAAGAGGGGGGTCTATGCGCCTTGCTGTGAATCTTTTTCAAAGGTTCCAAATTGAGGCTCAGAGGGTGCCTGAGAAATGGAGGCCTGCAGGGAAACTGGCAGCAAGGTGTGAGGCTAGGGCTGCCAGTTTCCAGGTGGGGTCTGGATAGGGCTGCCAACCTCCAGGTGGTGGCTGGAGATCTCCCGCTATCACAATGGATCTCCAGGCAATACAGATCAGTTCACCTGGAGAAAATGGTCACTTTTGAAGGTGGGCGCTGTGGCATTATACCCTGCTGAGGTCCCTCCCCTCCCCAGACCCTGCCTTCCTCAGGCTCCACCCCAAAAATCTCCAGGTGTTTCGCAACCCTAGGCCTGGAGATTTCCTGGAACAGCAACTGATCTCCAGACTACAGAGATCAGTTCCGCTAGAGAAAATGGCTGCTTTGAAGGATGTAGGGCTGCCAAATGCAGCCGGGGGGCGGGGAATACCCCGCTTCGGAGCCCCGATTTCCGGCGCGGCGGAATTGGGGCCCGGGGAAAACCCCACCCCCGCGTGCGCGTCACCCGGAAGTGACGTCGCACGCTGGGGGAAGGATGGTTTTTATGGCATTATATGCCCCTGAGGTTCCTCCCCAAACCATACCCTCCCTAGGCGGCATCCCTCCCAAATCTCGAAGAATTTCCAGCCTGGAGTTACCAACCCTATCTGAGGCCAGGTGTCAGGCTCGGGTTAGTTGATCATATGTATCTGTTGAGTGGCTGGTTATGATCCCCTGATGTATCTTTCCCTGCTTTAACCTAGCTTACCCTTTTCCTCCTTAGAGTGTATTTCAGAGGTCTTATCATCTACCCTCACTTGCTACCGCATTCCTAAGGGGAGTGAGAGTGAGCATGCATCTGCACGTGTAGACTGCCTGCTGTTGTAATTCTTCCATGAAGCTCCAATGAGACATCGTTTCACACGGGAAGATGTCCTTGGAGAAACGTCGTTGATTAGCTAGAGGTGGACCCTAATTTCCATGGTCCGAATAGATTGCTGACGTGTATGAATGGCATGTGTGGTTGTGACTATATGCACCTTTCCCGCCTATATGCACCTTTCCCGCCTTTCCTCCTCAGTTTTGACAAAAGAAGTCATTCCCTAAACATCTCATATCTTCTAATAAAACTTTCAACCAAGAAAGTGTGTGCGAAGAGTGATTGGGCGGCTGGGACTCTGACACCAGGAGAAACTGAGGGGCAAGGAAATGTCTTAATTTGGCCTCTGCTCGCCTGTCAGTAGGATTGCCAGCTCTGGGTTCGGGAAATACCTAGAGATTTTGGGTGTGGAGCCTGAGGTGGGTGGAGTTTGGGGAGGGGAGAGACATCAATGGGGTATGATGCAATAGAGTCCAACTTCCAAAGCAGCCATTTTCTCCAGGGGAACTGATCTCTGTTGCCTGGAGATCAGTTGTAATAGTGGGAGATCTCCAGCAACCACCTAGAGGTTGGCGGCCCTACCTGGCAGACCTGTAATAAAATAAATACATTGTGAAGGCCTCTGTGTGCGTGGGGGGGGGGGTACAGGGTCACCAGGTTTCCTCATTTGGGGGTAACGGGCCTGAGTCTGTACAAGCTCGTCTCCTTGTGATAAGCTAGAGATGCCAGACCTTGGCTACCGATCCCATAACATAAGAGAACATAAGAAGAAGCTTGGAGAAAAGACGACTGAGGGGTGACATGATCGAGGTATCTAAGATTATGCATGGGAAAGAGCAGGTAGAGAAAGAGGTACTTTTCTCCCTTTCTCACAATACAAGAACTCGTGGGCACTCCATGAAACTGCAGAGCGGTCGGGTTAGAACGGATAAAAGGAAGTACTTCTTCACCCAAAGAGTGATTAACACATGGAATTCACTGCCACAGGAAGTGGTGGCGGCTACAAGCATGGACAGCTTCAAAAGGGAATTAGATAAGCATATG